TGATGGCTAAATAAGAGCATTTGAGAAATTGTGCAAGGCATACAGTAATAGTCCGAATAGTCGATTAATCGTTTCATTAATCGATAGATTAATCGATTATCAAATTAGTCGTTTGTTGCAGCCCTAATATACACCTGAACATCAGCAGGAGAGGACTCTTTAAAGTAGAGACACTACATACTGATATACACCTGAACATCAGCAGGAGAGGACTCTTTAAAGTAGAGACACTACATACTGATATACACCTGAACATCAGCAGGAGAGGACTCTTTAAAGTAGAGACACTACATACTGATATACACCTGAGCATCAGCAGGAGAGGACTCTTTAAAGTATATTATGAACCTCTTAGTGTTTTAAGAGAGGTAACATGACGATTGTAAGCTGACATTCAATAATCATATCGATCCATCCCTGACGTGAACAAAGATAAAGATGTTGTGTCTCACCCCAGACCGGGTTGTCTTGGTAGACGGTCCTGACTCGGAGTGTGATGACAGGAAACACTGAGAGTGTGACGGCAAACACACACGTCACACACATAGCCATCAGCCAGATCTGCAGGACACACACACATTTATTTGTAAGATACTCACATTTGTAAAGAGGGCAGTGAAATGCTCGAGAGGATGTGCTTAAAGGCTAATATGCAAGAATAATAACTATACTAATAGTAAGGATTAGGAAAACAAATGAATGAACAGCATTTCAAAGATGGATACATTTTTAAACGTATATAATATATATATAAATAAATAAATAAATGACAAGAGGCTTTAAAGTCAGAAGGACATGAGGTTGAATAAAAGACAAAATGCAGTCACTTATCCTGTACTATGCTAAATTATGCATTAAAAAAAAGCTTGTTAAATGTGAGAATTTCCTGTTTTATATTATGGCAAACTAAATAATTTGGGGGTTTGGACTTTTGATCGTATAAAGGCACATTTAAAGATATTAAAGTAGAATAAAATATCCAAAATGGATCCAAAACAATGGATGCAAAGTAAAACAGTCCATCTCCTTGAACAGTGACGATGCCCAAATCATTAGACTCAACCAGCTGTCTTTTAGCACCTGGACAACAACGTGTTAAATAAAAATAAAACTCACCTTTTTGAAGACTTGCAGGACGGACGAACGCTCCTGACCCTCCTCCGGCTCTTTGAAGAGCTTCCCGTAGGCCTCCTGGTGTTTGGAGCTCTTTTCTAACACTTTCATGTCTTTTGAAAGGAAATAAATGAAAATGTATCAGTGACTTGACCAAGAGCCAGTTTTAATAGCTGTTTGTAAATTCAATATTGGCAGAGTAAGTGGGAGTCAACATTAAAATGTAAATCTTATTAGACATTGTCTTAATTTCTGTTTCATTTGTTGCTTGTTTTTAAGTTTTTGTGCTGAATGCTAAACTTTTTTGATGTCCTTTCATGAGTAAAATGTACTATATCAATAAAAGCTTTCCTTTCCATCAGTGACTTCCTGTTAATATACTTGTTTGCTATTTATTGGATAGATGTTTCCTATTGTCCAAGCTACATTTAACTTAAGTCATTTCTTCATGCAACATTTAAATAATTAAATTGTAGAAGAAAGATGGTATTTTATAGCCAAGCCCAATTGAAAAAATATTAAAAGTAGAAATGGATATATGAAGATATTCAAGTTGTGTACATTGACTTAAACATCTTGAAAATAATAATATAAATCCCTGACATGATTATGTTGCAGAGTGAGAGTGTAGGAACCGACCTGTGGGAATGCACAAATCCAGTGAAGTCTCCACGCTCTCCGACTGATGTTTGTTCAGGTAAAAACTAGCAAATTTCTGCAGAGGAGAGTCGACATCGTCAGGAGATTATATGAGTGTTCTACAGAGAACCTGAGATAATGTTTTACTAAAATATAACCTTTCAGAAATTCTGAGTATGTATGTATGTATGTATGTATGTATGTATGTATGTATGGTTTCTGCTAAAGCCTCTGAAATAAAAAGAAAAGTACTCATCAATAGTTGTAATGATTCAGCTGATTAATTTATTATGTGACATTAAGCCCTTTATTTTCTCAAATGTTACTTCCGTGACATCACTATGTAACACTCGCACTTCTATTGGCTAGCGCTCCAACACATTGTAGGTGATAGGCCAACGGGCGAGACATCTCTATGCCGGCCAGCTAACCAATCAGAGCAGACTGGGCTCTGGTTTCAGACAGAGACACTACATAC